AGCGAGGGGAAAAAATGAGGAGCTGATAACAGGGGCTTAAGTGGAGAGCAAATGTTTTGAGAATGATGAAGGCAATGAATGTACAAATGTGCTTCACACAATTGATGTATGTATGGATTGTGATAAGATAAATAAAATGATTTAAAACAAAAAGAGTTCCCTAAAAGTAATTAGCATTGCATGCTTCAGTGTCTCTTCGGTGCCACCATTAGTAACTTGATTTTTCTCAATCCCACTCATACAGCCGTTCTAAAATCATAGGGGCAGTTGTCCCGGGGTTATAAACAAAAGAGAAGGGTGTGTGTGTGTAAATGAGGAACTGATAGCAAGGGCTCAAGTAGGAAGAAAATGCTTTGAGAACGATGATGAACAGATGTACACGGGACACAAAAGAGGACGGGGGGAGAGTAGTCTGAATTGGGTTATGAGGCCCCAGGGAGGGTGCCCCACCTCAGCCATTGAACTCACTTGGCCGGCCGTGAGTCTGTTCCAAGCTCCGGCGAAGGAGGCATCCGCCGGGCCCTCCCGCGGGCGGGTCCTCGGCTTCTCCTGCCCAGTCCGCCCTCGCGCGGAGCCCCGTTCTCTGGGAACTCACCTCCCCGCGGCTCAGGGAGGGCCCTGTTAGGGCCGCTGCTGGCCCTAGTCTCAGACCTTCCCAAGGGACAGGGTGGAGAGTGACGGAGCACTCAGCGCGTGGCCCCACCGATGAGCTTCCCTCCGCCCTACAGGTTAAAGCCGCGTCGCCGCGCGCTTATAAGAATCCGGGAACTAACTACATTTCAAGGTCAGGGTGATTACCCACCCTGCATAGCGACATGCAAATAGCACGGAACGTCCAGGAGACGTGCCTCTAGGTCTTGGGGAGGGAGGAGTTCGGCCCAGCGCGCACGCGCACTACGTGTTCCCGCCCGCTGTCTCGGGGCGGGAGATCCCGGGTAGGTGACGTCAGTCCTCGGCTTCATGGCGGCTCGGCGGCGCGGGACCCGCGGTAGCGGCCCGCGAGGTTGGGAACTCCTTGTGGGGCGACGCCGTGGGGGCGGGGGGCGGGCTTGAGGAGAGGCACGAGGCTTTCGGCTTCGGACCGTACCCCATGAAAGCGCCCCCTGAGCCGCCCTCCACGGACTACCAGGTTAATTTTGACGGTACCCTTGAAGCTACGGTACGGTTCTCACGGCTTCTTGGATCGCAGAAACGTGGACATGTCGTGTGGCCCAGTAGTCATCGATGGAATCAACTCAGGGTGTCCGAGGTCCACCGGCACTAGAGCAAGACGATTGTTCACTTTGTTGCCTGTTTATTA